AAGTTCTCAGGCATCCAGGACATGGTAGTCTAAGGAGCTTGGAAAGAAAGTGACTGGGCTTCTTGAAGTTTATCGAATTTTCAGAATGTGAAACTGAAATAGAAGATGTGTCAGAGGACTGCACATCTTCCATTTCAATTATGATGAAGACAAAGAATCAAGCAAGAAAGAGGGTTAGGGGAGACAGAGGAATATTTGCAGTAATGTGAGGAAACATTGATCTGGTCTTCTATCCTTCCCAGTGACAGACGATGCATGACTCTCTCATGTGTCACAGAGAAAGACAATCTACCACGGTCCAAGCACAGATGCCAGGTCCCATACTCCTTCGATTGCTTTTCTACTCGAGTACTGAAAGCATTATACACCATGTATTCTGCTTGTATTCTGCTTTTTAACTTTCACAAGCCAATAGATGCACCAGAAACCAAGTTGGGGTTCAGTAACTTGCCCAAGGACACCTTGGTAAGAACTCCAGACTAGAGCACCAACAACCATCCAATTAGCAGATGACCTGCTCTACAGCCAACTCCATGACAAACAAGGAGGGACAACAACAGATGAAGAATAATGGATCGAATGCAGCTGTAGGCATAGGTGGGTATGTTGATTCTTACTGCCGTGCATCCAGTAAAGTCGCTACGGCCAGTTTATGACATCCTGAGTCTGGTAGAGAAGTTTTCATGCTACCGTGCCTAACACAAGATTAATCATAGAATCCCAAAAGTGATATAATTTCATGATAAAGACACAATAGAAGATCGTCGTTCATGACACAAACGTGCTCCCATGAGGTGTATGGAACAAGTGGGTGTTTCTCCTGCTGTGATGTAAGATCCTGGTACTGATGTGACTGTATGAACACCAAGTCCCCTTCAGAGGACTCTGTCGTTTCAAACAGAACATCCCAAGTAAACCAGGGAACTATGAGATAAAAACATGGGCAGCATGTGATGCCAGGTCCAGCTGTACATGGAACATGCTAGTGTACGATGGCAAACCGTCTGTCCTGCAGTCAGGGCACGCAAGTTGTCCCTAACATTACAGAAGGTTTCCAAAAGAAAACAATCACCTGTAACAACTTGTCTACTTCATATGGCCCTTGGCCTGCTACTGCAGAAAAGAAAGCTGTCCATGATGGGACCAGTACAGAGGAATAAACCTGAGCTTCCTCCTGCACTTGTGTCAAATATGGACACGCCTTTGTTCTCATGAAAGTTTGCCTTCACTAAGACCCATGCCCTGGTGTCATACCATGCCAAAACATAGAAAAATGTCATGTAATGAGTTGGAATAAAGTTGAATTAAACCTTGAAACACAGAGATGATATTTTATACCTTTCCTTTATAAATTGTCAAACCAGACGGGGTCATTTTGAGCCCAAAGGACAACAGATGTGATTATTCGCTGCCAGTAAAAAGTAGTTTAAAAACAGCTTTCTAAATTAACTTTGACATAAACCCGTCTGTGATCATCTGTGAAAGCAACCAACTCTGGTTGTGAAACGATAATCACAATAACTGATCTTTTAATTTATTTTTTTTACCCAAAAAAACAAAGAAACATTTCATATAAATGAGGTTTTATCAGACATAAATTTGAAATGCAATAAAGAAATAGTGTCAAAATGTTTGAATTAAGTTTTAATTAAAAGTGGGTGAAAAATCCACTTCATATTAATTATCAATCAAACCAGATGGGGTCATTTTTGAGCCCAAAGGACAACAGGTGTGATTATGTGCTGCCATTTAAAAATTTAAATGATAAAAAAAACCAATTCTCACTAAAGTTCAACATACAGCACTCTGTGGTTAGTCACATAGTCAAAATAATCTTTTAAATATTTTATTGTCTCATTTTATTTTCGCTCAACAACAGTGGTAATGTGTTGGTCTTAAGTTAAACTAAGGTGTAACACTGAATTGAATGACAATTTATACTTTGTTTGCTGGATCAGGTGACCCTGAATCCTCCCTTAGTTATGCTGCAATAGGCGTAGGCTGCTGGGGGATTCCCATGATGCCCTGAGTATTTCTTCTTCACTCACTGTGTGTTAACAAACCTCTCTGTACTGAATCATACTTGTTATTAATCTCTGTCTCTCTTCCACAGCATGTCTTTATCCCGTTTTCCTTCTCTCACCCCAATTGGTCGCAGCAGATGGCCCCGCCCCTCCCTGAGCCTGGTTCTGC